GATCATACCCTCCAACTCTCCTGATTTGGCTGGGACATTCCCAGTCTGCTGTGCAAATATGTTATGTGTTTTTAAAATGTCCCACTTTCACTTTTATTTCAGTCCACATTCCCCTGTGCTTTCAACTTATTTCCATTCATGCAAATTGAGTCCAAATTCAAATGTAGTTTGCACTCAATTAATTGGAGGGTTGGGGGCTAGAGTCTATCCCTTCCTTGTGAACTTGGGTAAAAGCAAAGTGTTGCAGTTTCTGCTAGTTTGTCTGTTCTCTTACATTCATAACTTTTGTTATCTTGACCACATTAATATGTTGAATGGGTACATTTCCCAGTGAGTAGCCTCCTGTGGTGCAGTGGGTTAAAGCCTTGTGCTGGCAGGACTGTTGACAAACAGGTCAGCAGTTCAAATCTGGGGAGAATGGGTTGAGCTCCTTCTGTCAGCTCCAGCTCCCCATGCGGGGACATGAGAGAAGCCTCCCACAAGAATGGTAAAACATCAAACATCCGGGCATCCCTTGGGCAATGTCCTTGCATACAGCCAATTCTCTCACATCAAAAGCAACTTGCAATTTCTCAAATCATTCCTGACACAATTTTTCCCCTCAGTTTCCATTTGTGAAATATTCATGGCATGGGAACATACAAGACAATATGAAACTTTCACAAAGAAAGTTTTTTAAAAACCTAAGAAATGTTCCTTTAGGTTTATTTGGTGACAACATTTGTAAAGAATCTATAGAAATTTGTCAATACAGTTTTATAACTGTAAGATTAATAATAGCAAAATCATGGAAGGAGGGGAAAGAACAAAGGACTTGGAGAGGAAAATTATTAGACTGTATCCAAATGGTCAAGCTGTCCAATGGCATTAGAGAAGGAAATAATGAAGACTTTGTTAGAAAATGAAGGCTTGTTTTTGAATATCTAGAAAGGAAGACAAAGGTAGACTTTAACAGCAAGAAGAAGTTATTAATATAAAGATAAGGGTAGATTTTAATGAGATATTAATTTCTCTTTGAGTGGTGTCAGGAGTCATGGGGAAGTGGGTGAGTGGTATTTGTATTATGCATATTTGATGTATTTCCTTTATTTTCTTTTACATTCTGTATATTACCTTGACACAAAAATTATAAAATGTATTAGTGTCCTGTTAAGGGCGAGTGTAAGATTAGTTTTCCAAATCAGCACTCTAGTTACCCAATATCAATTCCCTGATCTTTGCTCCTCCAGATAGAATTGTAGGTCTGCATTGCTATCATTGTGATAAAATAGGTACAATGACCCAAAACCCACCCCTGGATAGAAAATTCCTCCTTCAGTTGAAATATTTTTAGATAACTACACCTGAACAATAGCTCAAATGAATAAGGTTTATTCCAATATTTTCTTTTTTTGAGAGGGAGCACATTGGCTATCACACCAAAATGAATATTTAAAACCTTGATCTTTAAATATTTACAGTGCTTTGTTTCTGGCACTGTATGCAAAGTCACTTGGATGACAAGGCTCAATTTTAATGCCCAAATGTACCAAGCTTCTATTCCAGTGTGTGTTCTGGTGTGTCAGATTCACATGATACCAGTTTTCATCAAAACAGCAACATTTTCCTGGAAGAACTCTTTGCGATCTGGCCCTGTTTCAGATGACACTCAGTTTAAAGCCATGTGCCATCTTTGCTCCCACAATAGTTTCCAACTGTCGATGCTGGAAGGGGAAGATGGCGAAGCTCAGGGAAATCATAATTATACTTACTATTAATCCACATTGAATATTTGTCATAAAAATAGTTGGCCAAGCCAATCATGTTGTTCATATTACTGTGGAAGACTACTTTAATATCTGTTTGTTCATTTGTTTAGGCTTTAACTGTGTACTTAGGTTTAATCTTTTCTTCAGTTTTAATGAGTTCGCAAAGTGGAAAATAAAACAAATACATGAAAAATATCAAGACAAAAGAAAACAGGTCAGAGTGTAGCTGTATAAAATAGCTGAGTTGGAACAAATGCCATATAAATGAATGACTATCTCGATATGAGACACTTCAGTGGATTGATCTACTGCTAAGAATTAGGAGTGCGAAAATCACTGACAATTTTTTTTTGGGTTTGTACTTTGTCACTTTTTCAGCTTTCTACATTCTCATTAGCTCTGCTTGCTCATTTGTTTTACCACTGGCTCTGATGTCACAATTATGCCCTCTTTTTCCCTTGTGGATTTACCTTGGTGGTGGTTTTCAGCTTGGTTGATGAAGCTGAATGAACTCACTGCTACTCCATCTATGCCATATTGAAGGATCATATTTCTCTGAGATATGGCAGTGACCAGTGACTTGATCCATATGCATTTTCCTCACCCGGAAATTATTACTTGATCAGTCACAGCTGGCTCCTGTGAGCATTGGCTCCTGTGAAAAGAAAAAGATGAGAGCATGGAGGGCACATGAAAGCTCTTCTTGTGCAACTTGATTTGGGATGGCTGTTCCATGTGTTCAAGTCATCATGTTGATAATGCAGTCATTAGGCAATGTTTGTGAATGTTTAATTCAGTTTAATGAGAACCTAAAACAACCTTTTTTCTTTGTACATGGAAGTGTTAATAGACCGCTCTTTGATCATCTTAGCAAAATGAGATACCGGACGTCTTATATTACATTAGGAAACTCCAATGGGCCCTTGGTATCTGCTGGGTTTGGTTCCAGGACTCCCCATGGATACCAAAATATGTGGATGATCAAGACCTGTTACATAAAATGGTGCCCCAATCCCGTATATGAAATGGCAAAATCAAGGGTTGCTTTTTAGAAAACATTTTTGACTATTTTCCAACTGTGAATAGTTGAATCAGTGGATGCAGAATCCATTAATATGGAGGACTGGCTGTAATTATATAGCAATGTAATTAACTATAGCCAGGTTTCAAAGAGACTACTGTATTTGCACATAAGTACTATTTTGGCTAATGAATCTAGTAGCTGCTACCAGAGCAAGGGACAAGAGTTGCCTAAGTATGGAACAGCTACTCACCCATAAGGTATCTGAAGCTATTTTTGGCCCTACTTATAGAATTATAAAATTAGTCATCATAAAAACAGAAAGTCCTCTGTATATAATTGTATATAATTTATAATTATATATAATTTAGGGACCCCCATTTATACTTCAGATAAGGGCCCTTCCACACAACCATATAACCAGAATATCAAAGCAGATAGTCCGCAATATCTGTTTTAAACTGGGTTATCTGAGTCCACACTGCCATACTATCCAGTTCAATTTAGATTTTGTACAGCTGCCTGGAAGGGGCCTAAGAGAAACCTTTTTTCCCTTTTATTAGAATTAAAAGAAGGAATTGTCTCTATATCCCACACAGTGAAAATGTTGGCTGCGGTTCATTCTGTTCCAAGAATTGAGATGTGATTGCCTGTTTGTTCATGCAGTCATTGGCCGTCAGATGACTTCATTTTTTAAAACAGGCACTGTTCTTGGGGACTGAGACAGAAAGTAAGAAAGAGCATGTCCAAAATGTCTTTGTCATTGCTTCTCTTCAGACCTATTATCATTTCCCTTAAAGATTCAATTCATATGCTTCTTCCAATAAATGTTTGCCTGAACAGTCTGTTCATTAATTACCATATTTTTATGCTCAGGTTAAGTATTATATTGTTACAATCCCAGATTTCCCAATCATAGAGGCAAGATAGACATTGTCATATTCTTGGATGATATATGACCAGTATAGAGTGAATTAAATAAGGTTTCCCAAGGGTATTTTTATTTTTTTACATATTTGGTTTAAAAATATAATGATTTACATAGAATTATTTTTAGTTTGCTTCTATTTCTAAAGAAGTCTTAAAAACATTTCTAGCCTTAAAACATTCCAGCAGGGTGACTCCAAAACATGAGATTGTTACTTTATGGCTTTTGACCAAGTGTCTCCCACAAAATAAATTCTGTATAAAAATAGTGATGGGAGTTCAACAGTGGGGAGATGGTGCTTTTGGTTTTCGAGCTTGACACATTATTGGATTGTTGTGAGTTTTCCAGGCTGTATGGCCATATTCCAGAAGCATTCTCCCCTGACGTTTCATCTACATCTATGGCAGGCATCCTCAGAGGTTGTGAGGTCTGGAGAGAATGCTTCTAGAAAATGGCTATACAGCCTGGAAAACTCACAACAACCTAGTGATTCTGGCCATGAAAGCCTTCGACAATACATTGAATCATTATATTTCATGAACCCACCAAACAGTTGGACAGATTAAGGATTTGAGCGGGGTAGAAATCTAGTGTACTGCTTTTAGCCTACATGTATTGCTTCTGCAACTCTCTGGAGTAAAATCCCATGTCTCACCCATACACAGCCTTGACCCATAAGTTTTTGAATATGGATTTTCCAGATTCTCTCTTTATTTATCTAGCCATTCCAATTTATAATTTTTGTCTTGAACTTCTGAAAATAACATTTCAGACCTGTAGTAGATGTCTGTACAGAGAATCTTTTAGTAACAGCATCTTTCTACTCATACCAAATAAATTAGCTAGTTATGACAAGAAGAACCTTCACTTTTTGTGTAATTTCAATCTTTTAGTGGGGTTGAGTTGTGTTATGCTAAATTTCTGGTTTTCCTCATCACAAATCAGACAGACTAACCACACATGGAAAACTTCCATAGATTGTGAAGGAAGCCAGATACCAAGAATGTGCATTAGATTGTATAGCTCTTAAACCAATAAATGGTTCATGGGTTTCTGTGACCAATTATTTGATACAGAATATGTCCTTGTTGGAGCAAGCCTAACAAACTTTTGTCTAGCATATGTTTCATTGGTATTGTTGGTTTAACAAAAGCATTGAAAATTAAATTTGGGAAAAGACTAATGAATTGGAAGCCAAAAGATAAAGGTTGCACTTATAACCTGCTAAGAAGAGATTTTTATTTTCCGTTGATAGTATTGTTGGACACATTTATAACTGTTGACTATGTTCTTTTGTCTTTAGGCATTGTACAGATGTTCTATGCTGTATCATCTTTGTTGTGGTCATCCTGGGTTACATTGCTTTAGGAATTGTGGGTAAGTAAATCCATTTGCAATCGAGGCTTATCTTTCTCATTTGGAGAGCAACTCCTTACATACTTGTTGTTTTAAGCTAAAAGAACATTTCATTTCAAGGTAATCGAATTCACTTAATATATTTCTCGGAAACAAAGCATGAGCTACCTGCAGACATAAGTTGACTATTCTAATTATAAGGATTGAAATCAAAATGATGTGTAGATTGATTTTTAAAGACAAACAAAGAATGCAGGTGGAATCATCATGGTTCAATAGTTTTGTACTCTGTTACTGTAATTGTAAAAGCTGTAATTGGAACAGAAATTTCTGACAATTATCATTAGGTGGACAAAAAAGTGAGAAAAACAACACAATAGATTCTTTAATTGGCACATGAAATGTCAGCTTAAAGAAACTGCCATATATAATAATGTATAAATCAATCTGTTGAATAAGTTTAAAGCGGGTTTGGGGCCAAAATTATGGATTTGTGTTTTGACCCATTTGTAAGTCAAAGGTAAAATGTTGGGGCATGTAAGGGGCATGTAACATACAAATCCTTTCCTCCCTTTAAAAAAACGCATAGAGGGAACATACATAGGAGGAGCTATAGAGAAAGGCCAATAATGGTTGGGACAAATGCACCTCTTTAGGGAAGGGGTTCCAGAGCCACTGGGCCAACACCAAAAAGGCCCTGTCTCTCATTCCCACCAACTGTACTTGTGACAGTGGTGGGACCAAGAGGAGGGCCTCTCCTAATGATCTCAGGGCTCGTGCAGGCTGATAGGAGGAGATGCGGTCAAGTAGACTGGGCCTGAACCATTTTGGGATTTATAGGCTAAAGCCAGCACCTTGAATTGTGCCCGGAAACAAACTGGAAGCCAATGCAGTTGCTTCAGGAGTGGTGTAGTTCTTTCCCCATAGCAGAGCACAGAGCAGTGGGCTGCCAAGTGGCGAGGTGGTGGGAGAGCCGAGGAGGCTCCCTGCAGCAGCTGGAGCACTGGACAGAGAGTGGCCAAGCAGCAAGGTGGTGGAGCCGAATAAGGCACCCTCAGCAGCTGGAGCTCTGAGTGGTGAGTGACCAAGCAGTGAGGTGGTGGGGGACCAAGGAGGTTCCCCGTAGCAACTGGAGCGCTGGGCAGTGGGTGACCAAGTGGCAAGGTGGTGGGGGCCCGAAGAGGCTCCCCCAGCAGCCAGAGCACTGGGCAGTGGGGGTCAAGCAGCAAGGTGTTGGGGGCCCTGAGAAGGTCCCTGTAGCAGCAGAAGCACAGGGCAGTGCACAACTAAAGTAAATATGCTAGAGTATCTTTCGGGAGAAACCCATCTTTTACTCAAGACAGGGAGCACTAGAGCTTTTCTGCTGTGATATAATGGCTGCGATGCTCACCTGCTGTTCCTCGGTCTTTTTCTTGTTTCTCTTATTCCTTGTCAAACTCCCACAATTTTCAACCCCCAGGAACCACGGCGATCAAACTGGGTGGTCAGGCTGGAGGGGGGACTTCAAGATACTCCAAGAGGGAGGATTGAATCAGATTGAGTTGGATTTAGATTTTCTCTTCCTGAACTTCCTTAAGATTTTTTAAAGAAAACAAAACAAAACAAAACCTTATCATTTTTCATTGGCTCATCAAAATGTTTTTCTCAAAACGTTCTCTCCCTTTTGTTGCAAGTTTCTAACTCTAAATAATTGGTTTATCAGAAAACTTTTTTAAAAGGAGGTTGGAATTTTAAAAAACTTAGAAAGACAGTCGGTAGATTGTGAATTTGTAGTATTTCCAGACTAGTAAACCTTCCACTGTTCTTTACTTTCTCCCAGCACCACACAAATCTCTCTTAGACTTTTGGCTTGGATTTCATGACAGTTTTCTTTGCAAAGCCCCAAAACCATGTACTGTATGAAATCTGTCATAGATTGATGGAGATAATGACTGAATGCTTTGCCGTTGCATCTTTCCCCTCAGGCTTTGGTCACAGAAAATAGGGTCAGCTTTGCCTCTGCTGAAAATCTGCACACATACGCTACATTGTACATGCCCCGATTGTAAAGAGGGGATGTTGGATTAAATTTCTGAGCACCTGCAAATGCTCAAATAAAGCCTTGTTTCAGCTTAAATCTGTGTGGCCGTATTTCCCATTCCCATAGATGATCTCTCTGTCTCGTTCTCCTCATTCTCTCTCTTCCACACACAGAGAACAGCATTCAGTTTTCATATGCAGGTTAATTCTTTTACTACCCTTCTCATGTTTCACACTTTCCTTTGCTTTATTTTCAAATGAAAGATGAGATCAGCCTTGGATAGACTCCAGGCACTTGTTCTGTTCAAAATGCATGAGAGTCAATAAAGTTCATATAAAAGGAAAATAGAGTATAAATCAATTCACAGTCATGAGTTGTGCCTTAAGCATCTTATGACCCAATAGGATATGTTTATTTCTGTCCTTTGGCTCTTTATAGAAAAAATCGGGTTTCCTTGTCTATGAATATATATAATGGGAGATCATTCAGCATTTGACTGGATGCAGAAACCTCAGAGTTTATAGCCATTACCTCTAAGGTATAGAATTTTTGATTGATGGAGGAAAAATGCTGTCCAAAAGCATGAGTATACTGAGTAACAGTGGATTTGTCCAATTCAAGAAAAGATTCAAGAACATTAGGCTCTTGCTGTCTTTCTGAAGCCTTTAGAGAAGCCTGTATGTGTTAGTGTGACTACCCAGTCATCTTCCATGATCAAAGGTATTGATTTATGCTAACTGTCTTTCTCTGTGGTGTTTCAGAAATATTTATTACAAGAGTTATTCTTACGGGTTTTTTTCTGTTAATACGGTATCTGATATTTTTGTTTTGTGTTTTCTGACTGATCTTTTTAATTGCCAGAATCAGAAATCTAGTATAGTTGTGCCTGAGTTAGAAATGGATAAGAGCAATCTAGTTATCTATATAAATAAAAATGTTATGTTCGTTTGTGGGATTAACATAACTCAAAAACCACTGGATGAATTGACACCAAATTTGGACACAATACACCTATCAGGCCAACAAGTGACCACCACTCATAAAAATGCTGAAAAACACAGCAGAAGAGACTTTAAAAGCCAAAAACCAAAAATTACATTACAACGCATGTGCAAAACCACACACACACACACATACACGAACACACATATACACAAATATATATACACACACATATACACACAAAAACCAACAAATATATACAGACTGGGCCACAGCAACGCATGGCAGAGGATGGCTAGTATTTCATAAAAAGATCCCAAGGAATGAATGACTGCTAAACTCAAAAGGAAATAAATCAAGCTTCTTGATAGAAAGATATGGCAATGTCACCATAAAATCCCAGGGGAAGAGCTGCACAATTTCAACTCTGAATTATTTTTAAAAGTAATTGTTCTGTTACATGTCTGTTTTTAATACAGTATTATTTGAAATATAATTTTACAGAAACTACTACAGAAATTGGCATACTAAGGCCCGGGGGTGGGATGCAGCCCCCTGGGCAATTACCTCAGGACCTCCTCATTTCTTTGTCCTCTTGGTTTATGGACACAGTGGCCCGCCACAACCTTATGCCAAAAAAAGACGAGGGAGGAAGGCATGTAGCAAGTGAGAGCCCTCCTGAGCACTCTCAGCCACTACACATCTCACCCTCCTTCCAGCATAAGGATGGTGTGAGCGGCCCCATTCTTGTGCCAGGATGATAGTTCAAAGAAGGTACGCTGCAGTTGAGAGCCCTCTGGAGTACTCTCAGACATCCCCTGTCTCACCCTCCTCCCGGCATAAAGATTGGGGCAGCCATTGCATGTCTTGCCTTTCTCCTAGCATGGGTTGAGCAGCCCCATCTTTATGCCAGGAGGACAACCTGAGGGTGACTCAGGCCTTGCCCTGCCCCATGCTGGCCCTGACAGGCCCTCCCCCTCCTGGACCCACCCACTCTCCTTCTTGGTCCAGCCCACAATGTGGTCCCAAGGCAAAAAAGTTTGTCCATGCCTGACCTATAAGAAGCATAAAGAAAGAGGTGGGAGGAGGAAACTGTAGATAAGCCTGTCCAGACATTAGCTACAATTCTAGTTCCAGTTCAGTTGTCATAGCTGCTTATGGAGATAAATCAGTGGAGTTAAACATATTGATTACAGGGATAAAACATGCTTGTTTCCTGATGGGCAATGGTCTGAGATTGCAAAAATTATTTTTCATTAAAAATAAATTTTGTAAGCTCATACAGAAGATTGGCAGGCAGTGTTCCATTCCATATGATCCGCATCTTCATAAGGACTTGGGGTTCTGAGTACCAAGAAGTAATGGAATGACTTTGTCTTGTTATATATTGACCACCTATATGTATCCCTGTGCCTTACACACTTGCAGTGTACAGTATTTACAAAATTAAAGAGGAGTGCTTAGGTGAACTTTGCCTGTGTTTTTGTTTTTTTGTTTTTTAAGGCAGAAAAAAGCTTAATATGACCAGCTTTTCTATGTTATATAAGAATTTGGAGACTGAAGTCTTCAGCTTTAATATTCTCCTAGATATTTTTCTGTTTGTGGAGTCTCTCTGTTGCAGTTAATGCCCGTCTATGCTCAGAGACATAATGGAGGATTAAACCACTGGGACAAGAGACCATCTGTGAAGTAGTAAACAGAATTTTTCTTGTGAATGTTTATACAACAACTACCCATATGTATAAATTCAGGATCATGTTTCCTATTATCTGCTTCATTGCATTGGTAAATTAGTGGCGTTAAAAAGCCATAAGCACAATTTGGCAGGCTTGTGTTTTTACATATTAAAGTGCTTAATTTTTTTATCTTTAAGGGAGAACAAAAATGCCGTTATGGACCCAACAAACACTTAACAGAATGCTTTTAGCTCTGATTGTCAGATGGTTTGCAGTCTGTTTTGAAGGATGCCCTTCTATCCCATCTTTTGTCTTTGACGGGGAAGCTTTGAGTTCAGTTGGCAACAACTTACTTGACCCCAGACAATAAAAGAAAGTAAAAT